GCTTCGAACTATCGGCGATTCCCCGTTTACATAAAAGAGAAAATAATCGCCGCTCATCAGTTCTTATGGATGCGATTTACCATTAGAATGGACGAAGAAGCGGAAATATGCATCCTCGAGAGCCGCGTATGCAATTTATGTCAATCAGCCGCATTGGCTTTTTATCGGTCAGTGTAATGGCTGGCCAATTTGCCCGACTACCGGGCGTTAAACAGCTCTTAAGCTCCATTATTCACATTTTCTATATCGTCTTAGTTTTTCGAATTATTTCGATCTTCGTTCTAGTAGCTCAGAATTAGTGTGTCCAGATTTAGCTGGAAGAATTCGTTTCGAGACGTGCAAATCTCAGGCACCCCCAGGACTGGTTTCGAGCCAATTCGCTCTCATCAGGCGGGTTAAGCCCGAAAATAACACTCACGAAGCCTGAAGTTACATACGCGATAAAGTGCAGGCTTTCGTAGAGTTATTTTCAGACTAAACCCACCTGATGAGAGCTAATTGGCTCAAAATCCACCCTGGAGGTGCTTCAGGTTTTGCCATCTCTGTGTGGTTGGCATTCAGTGGAAACGTGAAATTTATCCTTGGAAATTTTGCCGTGCTAACAGGCACTTTCTACAAAAATGTCAAGAGTAAACTAAAAAAAAAGTCAAGAAAAAACTAAAGCATGAATCATAGAAAGGGCGTAAAAGCAATGATTATGGCCAGTATGATAGTTTGTGAAAGTGTAGTGTACTTTGTGACTATTAATGGGTAGAAAATGGAGGATAGAGCGCCAGCTTTCAGAAAGCTGGTAAGAATATAGCTTGAATTGAGTTTAATTGTCAGAACAACAACTGAAGTTTTATTGCTTATTTATATTTCTCTCACTTTGATTTGCTGATTTCAAATATTTTTGGCTTTGCACAAAGTTCCTGCTGTACTAAACACATTATCTTCTTCCTTTCCAAATGGCACTACGCATCTTTCGGTAAGTTTAGCATTTCTTTGCCAGGGGCTGCCATGCACATGTAGAACTTTTAGTCCCATCATATATTAAATTTTATATATTTATATATATTCACAACTGACTCATATGGTGGATTTGGTATCAATTACGAATATTTTGGGTTGGTTAGGAAGCTTGTTTGTGTGAAACGCAATGCAAAATGTGTCCCAAAACAGTTTTTCCAAATCCTGCGCAAAATTTCCTTACCGATGAGTGAAGTTCGAAATTTTAACTTCTTTTAGAGCGCAGTCTTCAACTGTGAACTTGAAGAGTATTTTTTGTTTCTTATAAATGTTTCGAAAAGCGCGATGCAAAATGCGCCTCGCAATAGTTTTTTCAAATGCTGCGCAAAATTTTCTTTCCAACGAGTAAAATTCGAAATTTTGACGGCTTTTAGGGCGCACCCTTCTCTACTGAGCGCACAATTCTAAACTTGTAGAGTATTTCCCGTTTCTGAGCAATTTATTTGCGTTGCAAAATGTGTCCGGCAACAGTTTTTCAAATCCTATTAATGAATGAAGAACCTGTAACTTTTGATCGATTTTCCCTAAACGGGAAAAGCCATTTGAACGCCAATAACTGCGACGTTTTTCTTGAGGTTGCAGCCTCAGCCTTGTCCAATAAAGCACACCAGTAGGCATGTAACCAGCCAATACACACCTAGAGGATATTAACGCGCTTCCCTATTTAGGCAAACAGAAGCACATAAATTTCTTCAATAGTAAATCGGCGGCATTTAAAATGCATCGGACGTGCGTTTTCGAGGCAAAACCTGCTGAATTCCTATCGGCATTTAAAGAAAGTTGATCTATGGGTTTGAGTTGATTTCGAGAATATTAAGGGGACGATTACTGCATAATGTGGCAAGCGAATGTGGATGATACGCGCCGCAATTTGCTGCGTTAGTTACGCAAGGAAGTCAATGGGCGGAACAGGCGAAACTCGACCAAAACAAAAAAGATGAGCGATTGGTTCAAATTTAATTAAGTGGAAAGAGAATGGCATTCACAAAATGGTCGTGGTTATTATTTATTTAGTGGCAGCTCGTCTATGGGGCCTTCACATTCGGCACTCATCATTCGCCTATTGTTCTTGGCTAATTAACCTAGCATGCGAAGAGCTGCCTGGACTCATTTTTTTACAATTTTTTTGTCTGGATTCTACGTATATTTAGCGCAAAGTGGCCAAGAAACATTTTGTTTGAACTTGGGGCTCTCATACTACCTCTCATACTTCTTCTAACATTGCGTCGAATTGGTTTCAACAAACTGAAATTTTAACTGATTGAAAACTGATATTTTCGTCTTTAAATTGTCTTTTCAATGCTTTTTTAGGCCCCGAATTGACTTGCAAATGGTGTTTTTGATTGCAAAAATCTTGTGAAAGGCTGGGTAACGAACGAATGTGGACAAACTCGCACGAATTTAGAGCAGACGAATCCAAATTAAGTAAATTTATAACTTTGTAAAAAGTTTACAAAAACTTTTTTCATTGTCGAATTCGGGACAAAAACGAAAATATATTTCTCCCSTTTTTTTCCCAAAAAACATTAAGGTTTTCTCCAAAACCGATCAAAAMACTGAAAGTYTTTAATTGAAAATGCTAAAAAGCATTATTTTCTGATGATTTTCTACTTTTCTGACAAYAAYGGAGTCTTTTCAGCCAAAAATTACAAATTTAATTTTGCTAGAAAATTCGCCGGATTCATCGGTTCTTTAGRACTTTAGAAAACCCATTTCAACTTCAAATTTGGCCCAAAAACCAAATAATTTAATTCAGTTTTTTTACCGAAAGTAATYAGGATTATCTTGAAAAAACGACCAGAGAGCAAAAGTTACAAAAAATTCACCGCCCTCATCGCTCTGAAAAACTTTAAAGTTCCTTTAAATTTCCAGGTCATTCTTCAGTTTTAACAAAGTTTCTATTAAGCAATTATTTCTACGCAAAAATCGCATTATTTTTTAGTTTTACTTAAAATACTTATAATACTTAATAAAAATCTTCAGGTATTTTCTATGAGAAATTATAAGATAAATTTTATTGGAACACTCGCCTCCTTAACTACTTTGCAAACATGTTTGGAAAACTTTTTGCAGCGGACAAAACCGTAATAATTATTTCTAGGTGTTTTTCCAAAAATATTTCCCCGAACTGATAAAGCGAAAGTTTGTAATCATTCATTTATAAAACTCTTATAAACTGGGGTTTTTTTTACTTTTAGGTCAATATTTCTAAACAACCCTATCTCTAAACAGAAAAACCGAGTTTTTCCTAACGTTTTACTGTAAAATACTGGCAAACTGAATCTTTTATGCAAAAAATTAAGATATCAATTTTACAAGAAAACTCGTCGACTGTCTTTGAACTCAGCTCTGTTGCTGGGAAAATCTACATACCTTTTTTTAGTTGTTTGAAGAAAGTCGTAAAACGTTACTCGTTAAACGTTAAAATTTTGATAAACTTTTTTTTAGATGTGAAAATTCTAGTCTCGGGTTTTGAAAATCTTAATAAAATAATTATAACTCATTAACCGATAAGTTATAACTCGGAGAACGGCAGCAACTCAATAGCGCAAGTCAACACAGTGTTACCCAGGCCTAGTGTAAAATAGCATGATTTTCTAATAAAAGGACGCAAAATTGCTTCTCTCGGTAGTTTTTCCTGCAAACACATAGTAAAAAATAATAGAAAATTAACAGAGAACAACAGGCCGAAAGGTGGATTGAGCCCACAAAATACCCATGTGAAAATTTCCTGTGAAAAAACTCATGGTGAGTCAATATTTTATTGGCAAAATAAACAACATGCAAAACAGCGAATTAATAAATGCAAAAGTCTATATCAAAACACAMTTGCAAGAGCTTCGTTTCCCAGATASAGGGAGTTGAAATTAGGAATTTTAGTAGGTTWWTCGGTYTWGCCAGTTRTTTTTGCGTTCAAACTCTTTCAGTTTTTTATGAACTTACTTCAAACTTTCACCGTAGGTTAYTTCCATGTGTATACACGGTTCAGTGCATCAAAATMTTGAGAGACTATACAGGAAKATATGTTTTACGGRCTTGTTAACTACCCYRGAAACTTTGGGGTTGCGCCACTGAAGCTTAGCGATTTTTTTTCAAATTCCGGGTTCAATTCTGGAGAGTTATTATGTCTCGCATTTWTTTMGTATCAGTCCCCTCTTAGGSGTTATTTGGAAAAGTATTAATATTGGCACRATTCCAGAATATTGTGTTTTACTGCAAATAAAATMGTTTGRAAAATATTTGAAATAAATCTTTTAAGCAGGCCAAATTYCGATTGTCTCCAATCCAGAATCAAGAGCGTTTSCCACTGTTAATAMATWAGAAAAACRGAATTTGGAGTTGCTTGGAARAGAAACTGGGGAATAAAGWGAAAATTAAATAGAAAGGATACACARMTACAGATAAACCAATGTTGACATCAARTTAGTTTTTAKTTAAAAATTAATTRATTTCAATTAAAAATAGTTTTTMTAAGTAGTCTTAGAGCAGAGTCGCAAGTCTTGCGTCTTTTCAGCAGATGWTTGCTCGCTGGTCATACTCTCYAACYTTTTTGGMACCGACATTCTAAATTGAAAATTTAATTTMATTGAGAATSAACTGCAARCCAGATTACATCTTCARTTGCTGCATAAATAGTTTGGAAAKGTTGAAGACAAACGACTGGAAATCGCCAAAATCAGCCRGTTAATACCGCGTGAAAAMTCACATCGAGTTTTTCACACATTTCCCTTGTTTCCATTCAGGATGGTGCCATTTTCCCATTCGATTCGCCCTGGGGGAATATTTGCGCTGAGCACATAGGAGAAACCAACCGCGTATCCATCACACCATGTCCACCTTGCCTGCGATTAAATCGGACAGCAGAATTTTATCTGGGCGATACCTAATAACGTTATACACTGGCCTGAGCAACGTCTATCGCAACTATCTTAACAATGACACCTCCTTCATAACAAGGGGCCCCATTTAATTCATCATGTATGCTCGACTGGTCACTCTCAAATCCGTTGGTGATAAGCGCGTGCCTTAATGGTAGGGATTTCTGGGTATTTTGCCCACGAGTTCCACCGCTAAGTCACTCAGTACACAGTCTTGCGGCTTTAGCCATCAGCAACTCTTCGGCTGAACCATTCGTATAGTGCGCGCTAAGACACATCGCAACTCGTGGTGCGTTTAATGTGCCAAACGGCCGGCAAAAACTCGCAGTGAATTCCGCATGCGATGAGGCAACGGCTTTTCTGAGATGGATTCGTTGCTCAGCTACTCGGAGCTGCAGGAGCGGCTGCAGACTCAGGTGAACTTTACCGATAGCAACAATAACGACGAGTTTGATGGACATGCGTTGCTGAAGGAGGACAAGTACTCGCTAAGGCCACGTTCGGCTCGCAGGATAACCGAGAAGTCGAACGTCCAGCAGGAGGCTCAAAAGAGTGGCGGCGGTTCCCGACCAGGTCAGGGCAAGGGCAAGCCCAAGTCGGCCCCTCTGAGTAAATATCGCAGGAAAACCGCAAACGCGCGCGAGCGGAACCGGATGCGGGAGATCAATCAGGCCTTTGAGACTTTGCGGCGCGTGATTCCGCACATGCAGGCTCCTGCCACCGGTTCCAATGAGAAACTCACCAAAATCACCACCTTGCGCTTAGCCATGAAGTATATCAGTGCGCTGAGCACAGCGCTCAGCAACCCCATGGACAGTATTGCAATGGAGATGATCCAGCAGGACTACGCGGATCTGGATTGCTTCCTGCTGGAGTCCGACGGAGAGTCGCTCTCTCTGTCCGATCACTCGGGCTCGCTTTTGGCTTCGCCAGACTTTCCAGATTCTTCGCTATCGCCCGTGGACTTTGGGGATGCTTCTTTGCCCTCCCTCTTGCACACAGACCTTGAAGGGACGGACCTTAGTGAGTTCCTGCTTGCGTAGCATCAGGATTCAGTTCCAGTTTCAGTATTTTTGAGGCAGGTTTGAACCGTGTGGAAAATGGGGAGATTTGGAACGCGATGGGAAAAACTTTAGTTTTTTGAAACTTTGTCCATTTTCTAGATCTACATCAGTTTCCAAATCTTGTGATGTATTTGATCTATTCAAAAACTAGGGTTTTAGAGTCAAAACTTCCCTGAAAGCTCTCTGTTTATTCCAGCAGTTCGAACTTTGAAGTGCAGTATCTTTTCCGGTTTGTTTCCTACAGGTTCACTAAATCGAGAACTTTTAAACAAAACGCACTTTTTCTCACTTAATTTACTCATTAGTAGTTCAGACACATTTTTGCGTTTTTTCCTAGAGGTTTTTCAATTTTTTAATACTTATATTCGTTTTTATAATAAAAGAATTGGTGAATCATTTAGGCACAAAATGCTCCAATAAGCGATTTTCCCAACAAATTTTTGGCTTCACATTAAACATCATTAAAAATTTAATTTTCTCAATTTTTGTCTGATTGAATGAAGAAACTTGTTCGGTTAACAAAAACCATTTAGTTTCTTAATTTGTTTTATGATTTTGCAATTTTTGAGCGTTTGAGCAGTTTTTTCGTTTCTCCTGTAGTTCTTTCAATTTTTTAATGCTCACATTTTTTGGTTTTGTTTTCCTGCAGATTATTGGATACAACAATTGCTGAAGCCTTTAGGAGAAAAATTGCCCAACGAAGCCATTTAACAATGTCTTTTTGTGCATTTTTTCATTTCTTAGTCGCATTTTACAAATTTTTGGCATCAGTTTCAGACCCATATTTTCTTTTCCTGTTTTTAACATTGTGTTTTGTCTGTTTTTGTCTTCATTCCAAAGTGTCGCTTTCTTTGACCAGTGAAAAGGCAATTTTCGAAAAAACCACTTGAAAATTGGCATTGATTGCTATGAAATGTTTTGTATCTTGCCTTTTTACTCCAAGTCAATTTTGAATTTTTTGAGAACGTTTATGCTACGTCTGTTCTTCACTTTTTCAATACTCACATTATTTTGCTTTGGGCTTAGCAATTAATAGCAAAATATCCAACAAAACCAAGCGGTTTTAAGGTGTTTTAGTATGTTTTTTTCATTTATTTACTGCATTGTGAAATTTTGGTTTTAGGTAAAAGCATCACCCAAAAAAAACCCCAAAGTTTTTTCTTCAAAAATATTATATCCGATATTTATTTGTACCAAAATTTTGGTTGACCAAAATTGTATTTTTTTTCAAAGGGATCATCTTGAACATTAATTTTTCTCAATTTTCAGGTTTTACGAATTTGTTGCACTTTGTAGCCTCGTTTTCGGTTATTAGCAAATTTATGATTTACATGACATATTTACATAATTATGATTATAATTATTAGCGAATTAAGAAACAAGCACCCAAATTTCAATTTTTGTCTGCAAACGGATTTTCTTGAAATTATTTTTTCTCAATCTTGACTTTTCCCGATTTTGCTGCACTCTAAAACCTTGCTTTCTGTTATTGAATTTAATTAAAAAACTGACGAGAATTGACTTCTCTAACTCAAAAAAACTAAAACATTTTTGATTTTCTTTGAATTTTCGTCGAATCCAATTTTAAAGCTTTTGGAATGATAATTTCCTCTCGCTTCTTCTGCAGTTTTTTTCAAATGTTTAATACTCATATTATTAAATCCGCTCATTGTGCTTTTTTCACCGCTTCATTTACATGCTTTTGAAATCACACAATTGATCGCGAAAGGGAAGGAGAAACCTAGTAATATTTAATAAAAAGGTTGAAACAATCGTTAATGTAAAATAAAACAAATTGAAGTTGGAAACCATAAAGTCTCTTTAAGTTTGAAAACTAGTTTTTTATGCAATTTTCACTTCACAGGTAAAAAAACAGTTGGAAAATCAACAGAAGAATTATGTGTTATCACCGATTTATGAAACGAATTGAAGTCATTGAAGAGCCAAAGAAAATCATCGCTAAATTGAAATAAAATAAGAGTAAATTGAAATTAAAAGCCTTGAAATATTTATTATATATTGAAAATATCTTGCACTTTTTCAAAACAGTAAAATAAAGTCAAAAGCAGAAGTTGACTAAAACAGAAGATCTCGATCTAGGTATTTCTTCCAAAAAAATGCAAATAGTTTAGAGTTTTGTGGATCTAAAATTTTGCTAAAAATCGTTTGGGACTTCGAACTTCACTAGATCGAATTAAACTCCCAAAAATACCGGTTTTAATGCAAAATCAAAGAAAACAAGGCAATTTTGCAAAACTCAATCGTTTAGTAAACGTTAAAACTAATGAATATGCTTGATCTTTTTCCTAATCTTTTTTTTTAAATCTCTCGATTAAAACGTGAATTGTCTACTTTTTCATGTTTTTGTCCCAGAAAATAAAGTGTGCTTTAGAAATAGAACTAAATTAAAGATAGAAGCCAGATAAATTCAAAAAAAGTTCCGAAAACAGGCAGGAAACAGACGAAAACAAAATAAAATTTGAGAAGTTTGTCAAAATAAACTTGTATTGCAACCAAAAACAATAAACCCTAAAAGTAACTTGAGTGCATTTTTACACATTTTGTATAATAAAACATTTGCCAGTTCAAATTTTTTGAAGTGTTCAGATACGAAGGAAAGTTATAAAGTGTTTAGTGCATAAAAGACAGAACAAATGAACAACAATAAATAAAAGCTTTTAAAATTTGTTGTAAACGAAACAATAGCAGATTTTCCCGCAGAATCAGATGAATTGCACTTGAGACTGCCGTGGGACAGAATGTATTCCACTTGCTAAAACCACCTCTGAAGACGCAAGTCACTCGTGTCTTCGAAACGTCAGGAATACATTCCAAATCCACCAGTTTCATGCAATGGGCACAAAAGTCGCTTAAGAAAAACTAAACGAAAATAATAAATAATAATTTCTAGCAAAAGCAAAAATACCGCAGGGTTTCAATAGAAAATTCCGCAGAATTGCACTTGATTGTGGATCAATATAATCCTGTAGACTTCAGCAAATAACTTAATAACTTAGTAATTCCTCCGTTAATCCAATTAGACGCAATCGTCGCTCCATTTCAAAGCCTTGTCGGTTTTTTCCGCGACGTTTTGCAATTATATTCAAAGTGGAATAATAGAATAAACGTTTAAACAAACTGAGCCGATTTGAATAAGCAAACAGAAGCCTGAGGCTTGCGTGAAGGAATCGTGGGAAAAACGATTAGTTTCGTGTTATTGTAAACGTTCGTATTGGAATTATTGTTGTTGAACAAATCCCGAACTTCTGCACGGTTCTTGTCTTTTCTATCTCAGTAGTTTAAGGGCTCTAGTTCTAAGGCAAAGTGTATGTTGGGCATTGTTAAGGGCGAACTGTGTACAGGGTGTATAAGCAATAAATTAAAAATCGATTTTTTATTATTTCCATAGGTTTACGCTGGTTACTATTAGGATAAGCCTCTATACCTACTCCTGATTCCAGCTAGGTTTACTTATTTATTTAGGGTTGTGATATTATGCTTTATGCGTGTGAGTAAACTACTGTTTTCCCTTTCCAGAAGTATTAGACACAATTTTTTGCTAGTTTTTGTTTCCATTTTCCTCTTGTAAATATTTAAGGGCGAACTGAGTATTTGTATAGGAGTATATTATATGAAGTCGATTCCCTATGGGGAGGAAGAGATTATTATAAGTTTCATAAATATATGATTTTGTTACCTAGAAGATTTTAATGTATGTATGTACCTAGATAAAGAGAGGGCTGAGCTGTTCTTATAAGTCGGCTGTATTGTTGTTTTCAAAATAAATCCCATTAAAAGTGTTTTTAAGTGTTTCCTAACAAAAAGTTTGCAAGGATTAGTGGTTTTTTAGGGTTTTTAATCAACCAGCCAATATACTAATAGTACTGGCTATTGTATATCTACTAATAAGTCGATCAGTCGATTAACACTTCGTCCTGCCCCAAAGGCGCTATTGAGTAGAATGGTAGTATCGGTTGTTTGCAGGAATCAACTTTTCCATAACTTGTTTTGGCTTCTTTTATCAGAGCAAACTTTCTTTTTGATGGGCTGCTGAAGTCTGATATCGTCTTTGCAAATTTCGTTGTTCAATTTAGAAACTTTTTTGATTCCTGTATTTTTTTGAATCTGCCACCGATTTTGAGTTTTTACAAAAGAAGCTTAATAGCGTCAGTAAGGAGCCCATTTTTCACTTGAATTTTGCTGTAGCGGAGCAAGCGGGCAACTTATGTGCCAATTGCCTCCAGGCGTTTTTGAATGCGGCAGTTATTTGCGTTTAGAGCAGGAAAATTAGTAAAAATCAAAATAAGCCTGCAGTCCATTTAGGATCGACCTGTTCTCATTTTCTGCTGCCAGTTTTAGTTTGAACTGGACAAAATTTCAAGGACTGAAAGTTTTGGGCGGACGCAACTGAAAGTTTGACTTTTGTTGAAAAATCAGGCTGCAGGTTGTTTCGATTGAAATTTTCCCCATTTCTAGCCACTGGCTCTGGTTAAAACCATAGAAAGTTTCAAGTGTCCAGTTGGTCTAGATTAATCGTAGGGAATTTTTGAAAATAACTTTAAAAAAAACTTGAAACTTTTTGGGCAGGCTGGACTGTAAGTTTGTTGGTTTCTGTAAAATCATTTTGTTGGCCGTTTCGATCGAAATTTGAGACACTTGCAGCATCCGACCGTGGTTAGAGCTGAGCAAAGTTTCAAGGGTCTAGCCGATCTAATTTGAATTTGGAAAATTTTTGAGAACGGTCCAACTTGGAAGTTTTTAGCAGGCGCAACTGAAAGTTTCTTTTCTGCTGGAAAATCTGCCTGCATGCTGCGTCGGCGTTTATTTCGCATTCCTTGTTGAAGCCAAGAAGGTTCTTCGAAAAAATTCAAGGGCTTCTTGAATTTTTTTTGTATCTGCCCCAGTTTTTGTGTTATTTGCAAAGGTATCGGAAAAATGCCGGTATTTCCTCGACGGTGTAATTAAAAAATTTGACACTCTGTATTTTAGTCGGAAGTGGCGCGTAAATTATAATTTGAGAAACAACCGATACTGTGCTCCTGCTCAATAGCGCCGTCAAGGTGCGAATTATCCACTTGATTCACGGCGGTTTTAGCAGGACAAGCGGGAATTTTATGCACTAACTGCTCCAGGCCTTTTAAAGTGTAGCAAATTAGCAAAAAATGATTTAAACTCTTGAAAAAAAAATAAACGTAACGTAAACTAACGGAGCACATAACCAAAAAAATTCGTTTCACTTTTCGACCAGTTCGGCAAAGTTGTCCACATTAAAAAAAATATTTATAGTTTTAACATTTTATATGGCACAATTAGCGGCAATATTGGCTCGGGCACCCACATTAAAAACGGCGCCATAAATAATTTTCGTTCAACCAGCCAACGATTTTAAGCAGATTTTATTTTGCAGTTGACACGCTTTTTTTCCTACGTGTAGCGGTATTTTCGCAATTATTTGTCCGAATTCCCTTATCGATGCCATCTTAACATTGGCCCATCACCAGCTACTGTGTACGAAAAAGAACGCCGTTTGACTCACACAAATTGCCTTTATTACCCCATAAGATCACTCTGATCGTGCCAATTTCCTCACAAGAACTTTAGCTTGAAAAAACACAAAGAAAATTTGCACTCGGTCCAAGAATTTTTGAGGATTTCTTGAGTCATTAGCTGACGGGCCAAAAACATCACTGCCACTCGGTTAAAACAACTTCTAGAGGTTAGCAAATATTAAATTGCAAATCAATGAAGGGCTCTTAAGTGCAATCATCATCATTCAATCAATTCGGCTAAGTGGCCGAACGGTTAATGGGGTCAGAGGCGCGCCTTGATGGGATCATTCCCCCTTTCACCAGCAGCTCAATCTTCAAGAACTGTTTAAATCAAGAAGGATTTTTTTCGCCTATGAACCAAACTTATAGGAGATAGATGAATAAATCAAATTGGCTAATTTAAAGTACCCACGGATCTCGTTAAGGTGGTGCTCGGTAATAAATGCGTTTTTACGCGTATCTCCCAGTTGAATATTTACCATTTTAGACAAATGGGGCTATGAATAATGCCGCCGTTTGCACGTATTTGGACGGCAATTAAGCGCGATTTTTTTCTTGGACGTGAGAGGGTCTGACCCAAAACCCCTTTTACATCCATTGTCCTTGGTATTTCCAGTCGATGGTGTTTACATGTTGTTTCAATTTGTTTTTGCACTTTGTCGGCTATTTTTAGCGCTTTTAAAGATCTGCGCTCGCACATAAAGCGTCGAAACGTCGCTGATTATCACGGTTTCTTGTTGGGAAACTATGGAGGATTCAAACTCCGAGGGAGTCTTTAGTGCATCCACAGTTTCATAGAAGAAGTTTGGGTAGAACTTTGAGTAAAATCATGTTTTATTGAGTAACAGATATAGTGAAGTGTGGTTTATAAATGTGTATGTTTCTAACGACCAATTTGCTACCTGCTCCAGGTTGGTAAAAAGAAATTTTTGAAATTAGCTCAGCAGGAAAACTTTTGCTGGAAAATCAGCCTGCTGTCCATTTAAATTGATAATTTCGCTATTTCTAACGATTAAGTTTGGTTGAAACGGGACAACATTTCAAGTTCCTATTTGCTCTTGATTTGAAGTAAGAAATTTTTAAAAATCGCTCAACTTGAGAGTTTTCGCCAGGCGCAACTAAAAGTTTGCCATTTCCTGGAAAATCAGCCGTTTAGGTTGAAATTTGAATTGAGCAGAAATTGAACAACGGTTGAGACTTAAAAGTTGAACTGGACAAAATTGATTTTAGTTCCGCTGGATTGTACGCGCCAAATTTTTGATTATTGCTCAACTTGTAAATTTTTGTCAGGCTGAACAGAAAGTTTGTTTTGGCTGGGAAATCAGCCTGCAGGACGTTTCGGTCAAAATTTTCCGCATTTTTAGCCACTGGCATGGAGCACTGGCGAGAAGTGGGCAAAGTGAAAGTTCGTCTTTTGCTGGAAAATCAGCCTGAAGGCGCTTTGGATTCAAATTTGTCTCATTTGTAGCCCCTGATCTTGGTTAAAAGAGGACAAAATTGCACGTATCCAGTCGCTCCAGTTTGGACGTGGCGAATTTTTGAAAATGGCTGAATTTGACAGTTTTTGGTCCGGCTCAACTAAAAGTTTGGCATTTCCTAGAAAATCTGCCGGAAATTTGAATTGAGCAAACATTGAAAAACGGTTGAGACTTTTGATTGAAAACGGTTGAGACTTTTGATTGAAAACGGTTGAGGTTGGACGCGCCAAATTTTTCATTATTGCTCAATTTGTAAATTTTTGTCAGGCTGAACAGAAAGTTTGTTTTGCTGGGGAATCAGCCTGCAGTTCGTTTAGCTCACAATTTGCCCCATTTTTGGTCACTGGGATTGGCGAGAACTGGACAAAATTTCACGGGTCTAGATGCTCTAGACTGAACGTGACGAATTTTTTGAAAATGGTTCCTTCAGSAAGTTTTTGTCASGCCCAACTAAAAGTTTGTTTTTTGCTGGAAAATCAGCCTGAAGGCGCTTTGGATTAAAATTTGTCTCATTTGTAGCCACTGATAGTGGTTAGAACGGGACAAAATTGCAAGTATCAAGTCGCTCCAGTTTGAACGTGGCGAATTTTTTAATATTGACAACTTGGAAGTTTTTATCAGGCTGAACAGAAAGTTTGTTTTTGCTGGGAAATCAGCCTGCAGTGCGTTTAGGTCAATATTTGCCCCATTTTTAGTCACTGGCATTAGCGAGAACTGGACAAAATTTCAAGGGCCTAGATGCTCAAGGCTGAACGGGACGAATTTTTTGAAAATGGTCCCTTCAGGAAGTTTTTGTCAGGCTCAACTGAAAATTTGTCTTTTGCTGRAAAATCAGCCTGAAGGGGTTTGGATTCAAATTTYTCTCATTTCTAGCCACTGACCTTGGTTAGAACAGGACAAAATGGCAAGTTTCCAGTCRCTCCAGTTYGGACGTGGCTAATTTTTGAAAATGGCGCAACTTGACAATTTTTGTCAGGCTCAACTGAAAGTTTAACTAATCCTCAGAACTCAGCAAACAGTTTTTTTCATATTTTCCCCAATTCTAGCCACAAATCTTGGTGACAACTGGACGAAGTCTGAAGTCCCCAGCAGCTTTAGTGTGAACGTGGCAAATTTTTGAAAATGRCCCAACTTGAAAGTTTTTGGTCCGGCTGAACTAAGCCGCWTTTGGTCCGGCTGAACTGAAGGTCTATGCAGGTGCATAATCAGCCTGCAGTCCGTTTTGATCGAAATTGGCTCCGTTTGGAGCCACTGACCTTGCTTAAAACTGGACAAAATTTCAAGTGTCTCACTGCTCTCCACTGGTTGTGAGAATTTTTTGAAAATGGTCCACCTCGACAGTTTTTTTTTAGCAGGCTTTTAGCTTCGACTGTAAGTTTGTGAGTTGCTGCTGAATGGTCTTGCGATCTATTTGAATGAAACTTTGAACACTTACAGCTCCCCACAGTGTTTAGAACCGGACAGAGTCTTAAGTATCCAGTCGCTTCAGTTTGGTTGTGGCGAATTTTTTAAAATGGCTCAACTCAACAGCTTTTGTCAGGCTCGACTGAAGCTTTGTCTTTTCCCGGAAAATCAGCCTGGAGTCTGTTTTGTTTGAAATTTACCACATTTCTAGCCAGGTATCTGGGTTAGAACTGGACAACATTTGAAGTGTCTAGTTGCCCTAGATTGTACTTCACGAATTTTTGAAAATTGGTTAACTTGAAAGTATAACGTGGCTCGACAATGTCTGTTAATTATTTTAAAATTATTCCGTTAGGAAATAATCGGAAC